TTGTTTAATAATTTTGAAATTATGAACATAGAACTTTTTAGTAAATCGTTTAAATTGTACGGAACAAAACTTTTGGCTTGTGTATACATTGTGTTTCGTTTTATTGTACATGATGTAAAATATTACAGGAACAATATAAAAACATACATTGTTCATACTTTTTAAACATAAAATAATTATTATGTATCTTGTCGTTTTTGTATTATAGTAATAGGTGTTTATTTTATTTTTTTTATTTTTATTATTATTGTTATTCAATAATTGTACGAAACAGAAAAATAAAATAAGATAATGTATGGAAAATAATGTATATTATATGGAAAACAATATTTTTGTTTTATTTTTTTAAATGCAATAAGATAAATAAAATACAGATTTAGATGAGTAGGTATTAAGTTTAATAAATTTGGTTCAAATATAAAAAAAAAAAAAATATTTTATTATGTAAATTTACAACAAAAGCGTTATAAAATTAACATATAAAGACTGACCAATAATATTAGATTATAAAGATTTAAATTGTATTATACAATTGTTTTCACGATAATCGATGCATGTCATATTATTTAAAGAGTTATATATTAAATATAACTCTACAATATCATGTATTATATTTCGATCAAAAAATCATACATGATATTGTTCAATATTGATCTTTTTTCTTACGAGTTTGAAAGTCGAGGCGTATGTACTGTTTATTACATGCGTTAACGAATATACGTATTCACTACATAACCAACATAATGGTCTGCGAAGGATTGACCACAGCGCATGATTATTTAAATGCGTTCGTAAACCTTTGTTGACGAATATGAAAATCGCGTATAATTTAATAATAATAATAATAAGAAGAAGAAGAAGAATAAGAAGAAATTATCTATTTTCGAAAGCCGTAACTCTAAAAAACTATGGATTAAGCAAGAAAATAATACTTCTGAAAAGCTTACCATCCTGCGTAAGTCTATACACAGTAAAACAACTACTTTTTCCCCTCTTTAACATATTTAACATATATATATATATATATATTTTATTTTTTAATATGAATTTCATTTTTATTCATCTTCTGCCTCGTAATTTGAATAGTGTCCCCGGAGAAAATAAACTTCCCACAATGTTGACATAATTAATATAAGACTCGTAGTTAATATTTATTTAATTACGGACCAACTCAACAGTTTATTATTTCTCCTTTTCATTACCTCATCTATTTTTGAGCCTCTTATTTTTCTCCCACAAAGATCATACACTTCTTTTAATTTATTTTAACGACTAACGTTTATCATAAGAACAACAAAGCATTTTATCATTACTATTATTATATTTAATATTCCTAAGTGGAATTATACACTATTCTTCGCAGATTAATGATAGTACATTCAAATAATTTCAGATATTTTAGATATTTGTATTTATTGTGATGATTGAAAGTTTAACAATATTTGACACGTTTTATTATTTTGAAACTTTTCCAGATATCTTTAGACTGTAATGCGATTGAACCTCATACAGAATATACAAGACTAAATCAAACAAATAATGAAAAAGTAAAATTATTAATTTTAAAAAAAAAATACCAATAACTATGTTGCTTTTAAAAATAATTTATATAGTTATATTGATAAAATACTTGATCACAATGTGAGGTTTCCAGAAAAAGTTAAATTATGAATAATTATCATGGGATATTATTATTATGTATTTTAGTTATTGTAATAACAAAGCATACATATTATACTATAGCTATTGCAGATTTTGTTTATCATAGTATAGCCATTAATTTGTGATGCATGAACATTTTTTCCAAGCAATGCGTGGTAATAATGTATTTACTAAACAAATCTAACGTTTCCATTTGAAATTTAATTTCAACAGCAATGAAATATTTTCAAAAATATATGTGGAAAGTTACACAATTCATTAGAGTTTAAATTGAAAAACGTAAATCCCCGAAACGCCTGGGGGGGGGGGAGGAAAAGAAAAATCTTTCAACTTCGACACATTTTTCCCCTTCCTCGCAACCCATCAATTTACGCCGTATGACGCACTCAATTTAAACTCTAGCACGTTGTAAACTCTAAACACTTACATGTTACTAATAACGTTCAAATGGGTAAATGATTTTATTCCAAAAATATAATTTTCAATTCATATTTTATTGAACGAATTAAAAAACTTTTTGCTTGAAAAAAATCTTGTATAAAATCAATTTTTATCGTTTTCCACCATGAAAATGTTAAACGGAAAGTTTTTCACATCAACAACAAGACCGATTCATTCGTAATGCACAATAGTAATATAACAAAATATAATATTTTAATTCCATCACTCATCATGAATCCCAAGAGCACTAGGAATGATTATCGTAAAAATATGTTATATTTTATAAATGCATCACTCATACCGTGATACTACCGTAATAAACGTAAATTTTTGTTATGGGCGCACGCAAGTGTTTTTGACCGGTAGCGAATACATTTCGAAAACGATAAGGTAATCGAGCATTTGACAAAACTTTATGTGCAGCAAGTTCTACTACATATTCTACTACACTTACAATAATATAATAATATATATGTAATGAAGTTAAAAATAAATAAAAATACATGAACACGACCGGGATGCTATTTTGCTACTAAATCGAATATAAACAAATTTATCTATATACTATAAAAAAAATATTAGCATGGGTAAAATTTTCAAAAAAAATTCAAAATCTGTAGGCTCTATATGAATTATACCGTTAAGGATTTTATATTATAATGTATTGTAGTTTTCAACAATATTTTCATCGTTGATTTTTAGAAATAATAACATTATTTTTACAAAAACATTCAACATAAGTAAACACATACAAATTTTAAATTTAAATAATAAATTTAATTATAAACTAATATCTAATTTTTTTTAAATTGATAATATTATAATTGCGCAATAAAAATTGTTGAGTACTACCGATATAGATATTATTTTTGTTTATCTTCTTTATTTCAGTAAAAATGTATTTAGAAATAATTTAAAAATTCAAAAATCAAGCGAAGCTACCAAATTTTAAAATATAAAAAGATATATGAATATATGTTTCCTTTTTTCTATTCTTTAAATATGGGCTCATATGGGGATTAATTTTTCAGATTTTGAATATTTTATTGTTTGTATGGGGTTGACATTAGTTACAGAAAATGTAAGTGTTGATCAGGAAATTTTCAAAGCTATTGATATATATATATAACATAAACCATTTTGCAAGATATAAACGGAAATGGAACGTGACGAATATGATGCATGATGAAACACAAATATTTTATACTCAGTTTTATACTCAGATGAATTTTTCTAGTAAATTATAGTTTTTAAAAGTATTGTCATCGTTAATTTTTAAAAATTATTACATTATTTTTGCTAAAAAATTAAATTAAGGCAGTGGTTCTCAACCAGGGTGACATGGACGTAGTGTAGGGGTGATACGAAATCTCCAAGGAAAAATAAAAAAAAATAAAAAAAAATAATAAATTATAATAAAATCATATTATTGCCACAAATACCATAACATACCTTTCAGTTAGTGTCTTTATATTAGAGCTCTTAATACACGTAAATTCACGGAATTCACGTGTCACGTGTCACGTGTAAAATTCAAAATAAAAACGTATATCCTTAACTTAATACACTTAATGCTGTACTAATAATATTTTATTAAAACTTCAATTGTATAACATAAAATTACTAATTTTCATCATTATAAAAATGGATTTATACTTGGATAAACACGTATTTCACGTGTACACGTGAATTCTGTGTCACGTGTTTTAAGAGCTCTACTTTATATTATTTAGATCCAATAAATACATGTAGTATTTTGATTTGCGAAATCGCTGCATTATCGATTATTTTATTGATTTAATTGGGGTCGATAGTCAGATATTTTGTAGTCACTAGATAAGTAATGTTATAGCTCTACAATTCTAGAAAATAATATTAAACTCGATATTTCCACCATCAACCCTTGACTTCCTTGACTTAGTAAAAACCACCAGGGTCCAATTTCTCGTCATTTTTCATACAAATCATTGTTATTTTTTCTCTTTTCTGTTTTTTTTTAATTTGCAAATTTAAACTTTTAACTGACAATGTTTATTAATCCCTGCAACTCAAATAAATTGTAGGTGTACTTATTATTTTTCTGTATTCTGTATTTTATTTTTTTTTTATTATTATTTTAAGAATTATTCTAAAATACACAATGAATATTATTTATTATTTTGATATTAAGGTAACGCGGTGTTTTATTCTATTGGCTAAAGGTGTCATGAACGAGGAAAGGATAAAAATCACTGAATTAAGGTAACGCATACGAATATTTAATGGGTTTAACGTAATTAAAATATAAGGTCTAGGAGATTGTTATTTTTTTTTTTTCACAATCGATATCTGATGGAATTATACGTTTAAATCCGATTAATGTAATATACATATATTATATATAAATATACGTACATCTACTTAGATTATAACAATATTTATGTATTTGGTTTGGAAATAACGCGTTTAATTGAAATACTTAGGGATTTTCATAAATCTGAATACACATTTTTTTCAGTTTAAACCAATCAATTTTACGACCATAAATGCAAACAATTTAATTTAGTAATGAAATTGATATTATTATTGAATCATACGCAAAACGAACATTTAAAACCCAATCTAAACAACACAATTAATATGATTGTATTTTTTTATTATTTGATAGAATCGTTATATATTTTGTAATTATTTTCCTTTTTATATTATATGTAAACGTGGTATTCCAGTTAATTGAATGACACTGATTATGACTATGATATAACATAACTATAATATTATAATCAGACAAATACGTCAAAAAGTATATATGTGATCATTATCCCGGTAAATGGTGGTAAGCAATTGTATTTAATCTTATTTTTATTTCCAATAAAAGCTTTGAAAATAGCTAATGATAAGTAGTCATTAATAATTACCTTGATCGGCGAGTTGTCGGATCTTTCATAACCATGACTTCAGTAATTTCTCCAAATTTACTGAAATATTCTCTCAGCGATTCTGAAATAAAAAATAAACAAACCCATGAGTATATCAATATTAATATGTAGACACGAAAATCATATTTTGATTTTGCAAGTCATATTAAAGTATATTGCTGTACATATTGAAGTATCGCAATATTATCGTAATATTCCCTCATGTCCAATGTAAAAAGTCATTTTACGTAGTTTACTTACAGTTAGTAATTAGTACTTATAGTATAATATTAATATTATAAAAATATCCATTTATCAATAATGATTGTAATTGAAAAATATTTAATACATTAAAATAATTATCTAAAACAAAGTGGAATCAAAGGTTTTTCGGCCTTAGTATGGCCCACAATAAATCACACACTAGTGAATTTTACTGATACGTTATACCAGATTTCAATTGTACATCTTCAAATATGTGACGACACCATAGCAATACATCTTAAAATTCGGATGTGTTATTTGATTGGCTATTGCAGTAGGCGGTAACGATTTAAGACAAGTTTGATACAAAATAGACAATAAAATTAAACATGTAAAATCAGTACGTTCAGTAGATCTGTACCAGTGACTTGAGAGAACATCATAAATTGATAAGTTTTTTCGAGGAATTATACAAAGAGCATATTAATTAGAAATGTTTTTGTGCCATGGGAAAAACAAAATAAATTCAGAATCGTAACAAAGTTCGAACTTGTATAAGTATAAAGTGAATGCACACGGGATGTGCTAAATCTTTCAAATGCGAAAAAGAAAAACATAAATAGTCATCGAACAATATTTCTTTTCGTTTTTTTTCGTCGCAAACAAATTATTTATGCGTTCAGAAATTGCAGTGCACGTGTATGTATATTTATGCGTTTCATAAACGCGAATCGATTTTGCGCGAGCTTTAGACACGTGTTTCGTGTGAGTGAATTATATTTATATGCGTATATGATCATAGATACTGATCGTATTATCATGGTTTTGTATTGAGTGTGATTTTTGTAGGTACTGTTGTATCATCCAGGGATACGGAATATTCCAATTCTTCCTGAGGTTTGGAATATTAATACATAACCGAAAACTGCGACATCGCTGCTGCTGCTGCTGTTGGTGTTGATTCTGCTGATAATGCTGCAGTATCTCGTTTGTTTGGAATATTTTTCGTAGGGTGAAAATGAAGGATGTGCAAGCGACTGTAAGCAAGTACATTTAACCCCCTCCCCCTAATGACAGATAATAAGGGCAAGTTGTAGAGGAAAATAACGTCATTGAATCTCATGAGAAATTCGTTCTGCTCTGACATTGCGCAAAACGTGCAAAATACGTAAATACTTTATAGTTTAAATCCCCAACAGACTCGTTGACCTGCCAACATACCTCCGCAATACTCTGCTTACACGCACGTCAACCTGTCCGTGGTGAGGTATTAGATTATCGCGCATGCCATTGACGAGATGAATATCAAAACGACAATGTCACGTTTTTCTTGATCTGCCGTACTACAGTGGCATGATCCGAAAAAATAATTATATAATCTAAAGTATTCCGGAAAAATAAAAGCAGAACAATTCTTTGTGACGTGTTAAGCGTGTCTACTTCTGCCACTTGTCGTTTTGATACATCTTCCAGTGTACATCAATTATACTGTTTTTTTTTTTTTTTTTGACACATACGCTGTGTTTACGCGAATACGCGTTCGGATCGTCGTGATGAGCTCATTAGCGGCTTCACTAGTTTTATTATTATTGTTATTAAAATATTATCTTATGTGAATTATGTATATGTTGCGATATGTATCATGTACTGTGCGTTCGTATTTTTGTTTTTATTTTCCCCGTATGTAAATTATTGTAATCGCGTTATTTTTGTTATGTGTCGTTTGTCCACCTTTTCGTTTTCGTTTTATTCGTTTTCGTTGTCTTATCGTCGTCATGTTGTGCACAAATATTGTTTTCATTCCCGTCTTGCAACAATCTTCTGCAGCAAACCACGTTTTGTGATGTGTTATGTGTTCGGTCATTTTGATCGGCCTTTGTGATTGACGTGGTTTCTGTCTTTGTCGTCTTCGTGTGTTGCAAATGGGACTTGAATTTTCGTCGTGAGCAGTTGGTGATGTTCGATCGCACGTACGCGGGTTCAACTTATATTTTTTATTGTTCCTAGTTTATTACTTACGGAACCCGGTACGGTAGCGTAGGTGTAAGACCAATTGAACGTCCCAACTGCTATGTGAGTATTGGTCGACCAAATTTTCGTTTTTGTGTTAAGCCACCATAGATCATTTGTAAAATTATTATTATTAATATTTAAATACCTATTTATTTATTCAACCACTGTAGGCCATTTATATTGAATTTTTTTGTTATTGTTGTTGTTATTTATTTTATATATATATATATATATATATATATATATATTTATTGTGCCACAATGGGCAACTGAATTATTATTTATTGACTCTTTCCATTAATTTTTTTTATTATAAATTTATTTTTATTATATTTGGTTACTAACATTAATGTCATTACCGTGACTGGTTCTTCGACACTCGTTGAGGCCCAAACACGCTGATTACAATAAACTCTTTACTTAAAATGTCTAAATTTTTCCCCAACTATGTGAATTCGTATCGCGAAACACGCTAACATGTTGAACAGAAATCCAAAACGAATTTTTTGCGATAAACTCAAAAACAATCACGCATGTTGACAATGTAAGGTAGTAATCATGATTTTAAGCGATGATGTTTTTACAATTAGCGTGATTCGGTAAATCTATTCAATCAATGGAAAGGGAAATTCTATCTCCTAAACAGTTAGGTAAACATTGTGTAAAAGAAACAAAAAGTTCGTCGTCTGAAATCGAAAATAAAATACATATTGAAAGATAAACTTGAGAAATATGATTGTCAGAGTATATGTAGGTAGTAATAAATTATGGCCATAATTTTTTTTTCGAAATTATCATCGATACAAGCTCTTTCACTACAACAGAGTGTGTGTTCCGGGGAGATCAAATCTGCGCGTTCGATACATTTTCAGCTGGAATAAAAAAATAATATAATTTTTACGTACATATGTCGTCTAAGTGGAAATTAGTCATTTACCGCTGGCAACTCAATATTCCCTTCCCCAACATAAATCATGATGAAAATAGTACATATATTTTATATCAATAATAATAATATAATATATACAACAAAAATCTGTTTATTCTAGTATAATTTCATGTGTGTGAGTGTGTTTGGTGATTCACTGGCCACACGTCAGTCATATTTGTATTTAGAACAAATATTCGATTGAAAATATCAAAATTTTAATTTTATTTTTTAAAAATGTTATGAGAAGATTGTATATTACATACAGTAACAGTGTTTGCACATTTTCTACATGTTTGACACGAATGATAACAAATCGGATAAATATATAGACCTGCGCAACTTGGTCCTAGCGATACATAGTACATTGTAATGTCGTAGATAAACGAAGAACTCCGCATGAGACTGTCTACAAAAGACGAGTGAGTGAGTATATATTCAGCCATCCAGTACGAGTACATGTTAATCATTGTATCATTGTTACTATTGTAATTTTAATATCTGTACAACAGTGTATGAATGAAAAATTAACTGACAAATCAACTGACAGTGCCGTCCAGCAATAATAACTATAACAATATTATGGAGTATACTCATATATGAGTACGACTTGAAAGGCGTAAACATGTTTCTCGTCCATACAATACGTTATTTTAATAGTTGTAAACAAATGATATTCAATAACGAGAAATAATAACTATAATAAACTAGTAATATTTTATTATTCTACTGGTTTTGAACTTTTCGGGAATGATGTACTAAACTGAAATTGCACGGTCACTCCGATTTTACTATACACGTACTAGATTTATTGACTTTTATATACTATTTTCTTTTACTAACAATTTTAATAACTTATTTTCTCAGAGTTACTTCAACGTTCTACGCACAAAATTCATTTTTAAATGTTTTACCAATGTTTTAAAATTATAACAAGAAAATCGAAAAAAATCTCATTATTAATGTTCTCTGAAAACTAATCTAAGCTAAACGGTTAAGTCCTTATCATTGTCATGCAGGTCATTGATTCGGTGACAAATCGATAAGTAGATTGATTATGAATCGTCCCCGATGTTGATGATTAACTTGTGCGGTCGCCAACATTGGCACCGATTATAATTTTTATTTGGAAAAATATATTTTTCCCTGCCGTAAACTCGAAAGAAACGTCATCCCCCGAGACCTGACTCCCATTCACTCCATACGACGCATCGCTCTGGTTTTTTTACGGCGAATGTCGGTAAAAAGCTAAATAATAAAATACGTTTCGTATAAGTTTCGCGTATCGTTTTGCAAGATGACCTCGACACGTGCCGACGGATTCTCTGAACTGTCCGTTCTTCCATCATTGTACACCACAGCAATGTTTCAAAGTGTTTTCTTAGTTATGAAAAAAACGCTATTAAACTTCGGGATCAATTTTTTTTTTTTATTATTCATTGATTTTAATAAGAGAAGACGAAGTTTTTTCTAGGGTTTATGGTAATTTATCAGGATTTAAATGACTGGATCGCTGAAAGTGTACAGATTCAACATTTCCTTCTTAGCTATTGCCGTCATCGAAAACACATTTAATAAATAAACATTGCAACACACTCGTTGTTTCGCATCCCAAAATTTAAGGAAACAATAAGATAAGATAATAATAAGGATACAATAAGATGTTTATCTAAATAGAATGTCCAAAAGAACAAATTCAAACCTTGATAGGAAACGCATGCGATTTTTGTACGATGTTTGTGTACCTATTTTGAACTGGAGTGTACTAAAGCATATTCCACGCACTAGTATACATACTTTAAATATCAAACAGTTAATTATTTATGTATCCATCGAAATCTATTATATTTATAATAAGCAACATAAATTATATATTTGATAGTTAGGTTAACTGATAACTACAACGTTTACAGAAAAATGATTTTGTCCAGAATCAA